CTCTGATGCTGCTTGGCCTGCTGTGTTCATCCAGCTCTACACCTTGTTATCTCAGATTCTCCAGCATCTGCAGTTCCTACTATCTGTGATTTATTATTCTTCTCTTTGCAGTCTGTTCTCAGTACTCCAGGGGAGTATTTGCCATCTTTGGGATGTATGACAAGAGGTCTGTGCATACACTGACGTCGTTCTGCGGAGCGCTGCACATATCTTTGATCACACCAAGCTTCCCGACAGAGGGCGAGAGTCAATTTGTGCTCCAACTGCGGCCATCTTTGAGAGGGGCATTGCTGAGCCTGCTTGATCACTATGAGTGGACTAAATTTGTCTTCCTTTATGACACTGACAGAGGTGAGTTTAACTCCTTCACAGTTCCTGAAAATGCAACTCCTACTTGGCTTTGAGCCTGTCAGTTTTTGAAACATTCAGTAAATGCTGCAGCCAAAGAAAGGATGTGTAAGATTTGGGGTTGTTGATATTATTTTTTCTCCATTTAAAATAAGTTGGGAGATATTTTTTCGAGTTTATTGGCAATTTCTTTATTGGGCCCAGATTTAGATATGTATACTTGTTACAACTGGGTAGCTATTTGAAGGAAAACATTTGATTCCAATGAGGTTGTTGTCCCAGAAAGCAAAGCAGGGATGGGAAGACAGAAGCTCACCTCAGACTTTAATATGGAACATTTGTTTGTTCATAAAAATTAATAACAACCATGATTCACGTCTGTATGTCATTAAATAGTGCCAAACAGTAGATGTCCAGTTTGCCTTTTTTTAAATTACAAGTTCAAAATGATTTTCTTTCCAGATGAGCAAGTTCCAATAACTTTTGAGGAATGAAAACTGAACTTTTGCTTATTTATCCTCTTTTTTTAATTTTTCATCTTTTAAAGTAATTTTATTATTGCATAGATTTTAAAATTACACTTTAAAATGTAACATGAACTGTTTACCTATGGAAGTTGTTGAAGGTATTCTGACTGGGGATTTATTAGCCCCAAAATGTGTGTTGATGTTTATTCAGGCAATAGTTCCTGTAAAGAGCCGAGTGTGGATTCGGGTGATAATTGATCAGTAAAACAATTACTTCAAATGCTGGATCCTGATGCAAATTGCAGGATGATATTGCCACCTGCTGGCCGTGAAAATAGATCACACATCTTTTGTCGGAGCCATAGCGACCGAAGGAGAGCCCAACTGCGTTTGTCTTCATGTTTTCTCCCTCATCTTAATTAAATTAATATTGATTATTTTCATGTTAACAACAAAATCTGATTCAGAGAAAATACTTTCTCCTTGGAACACTTAACCAAGCCAGAAGAAGACTTTTACTGAATGTAGGAAATTTTAACCTGAATTTGACGTGCACATTATTAAGAGTAAATTAAGACCATTCAAGAGAGGAAACTGGTAGCAATAAATGTCTTTTTTTTCCTGGTATTTGTAATGCGTTGAGTGTGTATGGAAAATATGAAGTTTTTTTGTGTGTGTAATAAGACACTGACTTAATTTCTGTAGTATGTTCATTATGGCATCAACTCTATTGGTTTTGACATCTGAGTAATCATTGATAGATCCAACTGTTTGTGCTGGTTTCCAATGCACCAGATTAGATATTGGCTCCTGGGTTGATGCTATTGATTTCATCATTTTCTGCAATGGCATACAGTTTCAGTGTGAATGGAAATGTAGCATGTTGTAGAATGAAAGGTCAAATTTAATATTCATTTGACCAGGAGCTGCATAAAACCCATATTTGCATTGAACTAATCGAGTGTATGTGTAAAACGTGCAAGTTACATGTTTAGTGAATGATTGATTGTCCATGTGTGCCAGTTTTCACATATGGCATTCCTTTCTATGGATTGCTGAAATGTATAAAATATTAAACCTGATTAACCATGATTTGCAATTAAAGATAAAATGCTGGAAAAACGCAGCTGGTCTGATAACATCTATGGAGAAAGAAACTAATATTTTGAGTTTCAATATGACTCTTCTTTGGAAAAGTGATTTTGAATTGTTTCTTTACTTCTATCTTTCATAGATTTTTAAGCAACAAGAGTAACTTCACACTTAGTGCTTTCACTTTATTCTTTTTGAGAGTACAATACATACCTTGTATCTTAAAATTTAACAACAAGTTCCCCTCCATGTTGATGCACTGTGCTGCATTCTTACAAACTGCTGTTGTGTTAGATTTTTTGTTTACCTTCAGACATAATCATTCCAGTGGTGTCCGACACAGGACTATCTTCTATCTTTTTAAATGCAAATACACCCATGTTTTAAATCAGTTTTTTTCTATAAATACTCAGTGGCCTCCCTTCCCATTATTTCTAACCTCCTGCAGTCTGAAAATCACCCAGAAATCTGCATTCATCTATTTTTGACTTCAAGTGTCCCCAGCTTCCTTTTGCCTCCATTGGTGGTCATGCCAATTAGAATTGAAGTGGTGTTGAGTGGAGATGATAATTGTTTGAAAAGGTGGGTACAAAGTACAGCAGGCTGTTTACTAATTCAGAGACAACTGCTTTACCGACAGTCCTTGTCTGGAACGTTTTTGTTGCGATGGATTCAAGCAGTCAGATTGTATTTGAATTTAAAATGCCACCAAACAAAAAGCACAAACGAGACTTTTATAATCATCACTTGTTTTACAATCAATATGTGCTGTACTCACTAGATAACAGTCAACAATAAGTCAAAAGATATTCATGGTGAGATAACTACCTCTCCCAGTCAGAGTGCATATCCCTTGTGCATAGTAGTCAGTTGCATTTTTAAGAAAAATACATTGTTAACTAGTGTTGCTTATGAACATAAACCATAGGGTCAGTTTCTTCAAGTGAACAATTAAATTTTGAAGGAAGTGGACTGTATCAACCGATCCCTGGGATTGGCCATTTTTCTTGGTTGGACCTCGTTTCCATTCTGTTGGTGAAATGCTTGTATATTTCAACAAATTTGCAGTCAGGTGAGCGTTGAACATCTGGAGGTTCTGCAGAGAGCCCAGTGACCACAGTAATTTAAATAAAAGAATCTGGCGAGATGGTTCTGAGTGAAGATAAGTGCTTGTAGCAGCAGGGGACAGGTACGAATAAGGCATCCTAAGCTCACCAAAATCAATGTTAGAACCTTTTGTCCAGAGCAACCAACAGTGGTGCTTTTAAAAGCCACCAATTTGACCAGTCAATGCCAAATGTCAATTAGCAAAAGTCAGCCCAATAATGTCTGTGTTAATTGAATGAGCAACCCACTCATTCTAATATCAATTAACCAGCAAGACTGCAGACTGCAAATTCCAGCAACTGGTCTGCAGTCTTGCTGGTTACAGCTCTTCAGGTATAGATCCAAGTTCATCTTTGTAGTCATAGAAGTATATAATACAAAAAAGGCACTTCAGCCCATCGAGTCTGCACCAGTCAAAACAACTACCTACACCAACAGCGGAACAACGAACCAGCCAACCACAACATCCACAACCCAAGCTACAAATCTGCTCTAAAACCTTAGAGTCAAAACAAGTACCTAATTATTCTAATCCTGTTTCCAGCACTTAACCCATTGTTTTGTATGCCTTGGCATCACAAGTGCACATCTAAACACTGCCTCTACCAAATTTACGAGCAGTGAGTTCCAGATTCCCACCACCCTCTGGGTGGAGAAATGTTTGCATCCCAGGATGTGGGAAGCTAGAGAAGAAATTGCAGGGCCCTGAGTAGAGATATTTGTATCATCAACAGCATAGGTAAGGTACCAGAGGACCGGAGGGTGGCTAATGTTGTGGCTTTATTTGAGAGACGCTGTAAGAAGAAGTCAGGGTACTATAGATTGGTGAGTCTGACATCAGTGGTGGGTAAGTTGTTGGAGGGGATTCTGAGAGAGGAGATTTACATGCATTTGGAGAGGCAAGGACTGATTGGGGATAGTCAACCTGGCCTTGTGTGTGGGAAATCGTGTCTCACAAAGTTGATTGAGTTTTTTGAGTATGTGATCAAAAAGATAGATGAGGGCAGAGCAGTAGATGTTGTTTACACGGACTTTAGTAAAGCCTTTGACAAGGTTCCACATGGCAGACTAATTAGTAAAGTTAGATCACGTGGAATACAGAGAGAGCATGCCAGTGGATACAAAATTGACTTGAGAGTAGGAGACAGAGGGTGTGGTGGAGGATTGCTCTTTGGACTGGAGACCTGTGACCAGCGGTGTTCCACAGGGTTCAGAGCTGGGTCCTCTGTTGTCATTTACATACAAAATTTGGATGAGAATTTAGGAGGCATAGTCAGTAAGTTTGCAGATGAACCAAAATTGGTGGTATGCTGGACAGTGAAGAAGGTTATCTAAGATTACAAAGGGGATCTTGATCAATTAAGCCAATGGGTTGAAGAGTGACAGATGGAGTTTACCTTGCATTTATCCAAATTATTGCATTTTGTTAAGACGAACAAGGGCGGGACTTAGACAGTTAATGGTGGTGCCCTGGATGGTGTTGTCGAACAGAGACCTAGGGATTCAGGTAATAGTTCTTTCAAAGTTGCGTCACACGTAGACAGGGTGTTAAGAAGGCGTTTAGCATGTTTATCCTCATTGCTCAGCCCACTGAGTAGAAGAGTTGAATGTCACATTGAGGTTGTATAGGACGTTGGTGAGACCTCTTCTGGAGTACTATGTACATCTCTGGTTGCCCTGCTATAGCAAGAATATTATTTAACTGGAGAGGGTTCAGGAAGTATTTAAAGGATGTTGCCAGGGCTGGAGGGTTTGAGTTATAAGTAGAAGTTGGATAGGCTGGGTCTTTTTGACTGGAGTGTTGGAGGTTGAGGGGTGACCTTAGAATTTATAAAATCATAAGGGGCATAGATCGGGTGAATAGCAAAGGTCTTTTCCCTAGGGTGGGAGAGTTCAAACTATGGGCCATATTTTTAAGATTTAAAATGGACCTGAGGGGCAACCTCTTCGCACAGAGGATAATTTGTATGTGGAATGAACTGCCAGAGGAAGTGGTGGATGACGATACAATTGCATTTAAAAGACGTTTAGACAAGTATACAAATAGGAAAGGTTTAGAGGGATACGGGCCAAATGCAGGGACTAGTTTTGTTTGGGAAATTTGGTCGGCATGGACTAGTTAGGCTGAAGGGTCTGTTTCTGTGCTATATGACTCTATGACTCTATCCTCTCTAAAATGTCTGCCCCTTGTCATGAGTCTATGACCCTCTCCCATGTCATTGATCCTTCCTCCAAGGGGTCAAGTTTCTTCCTGCCTACGCTATCTATGTCCTCCATAATTTTATACATCCCAATCATGTCACCCCTCAGTCTCCTCTGCTCCAAGGAAAACAACCC